CATACGAAAATATATACCGCTAAGGGGAGGCTAATAAGAACATAAGAAGGAAGGAACACTGCAACAGGCCTTCTGACCCATGCGAAACAGGTCCATGTCCCCGTCCTCCCCACCAATTAGCTCAATAACCCACCTAGTCAGGTCACTTTCACTCTTGCTCTCCTCCGTTAATCACCTGATCTCCAGCTTAGCAACCCTAAGCTCTTCTTTCAGCTGCTGGTAAAGTTGCTCAAGAGAGGGCATCCTGGTTCAGATTCGCTACCCAAGCAATAAGAACATGAGAATGGAGCAACACTGCAGAAGGCCTACTGGCCCATACAAGGCAGGTCCTTATCAAAACCACCACTACCCAAAGCTACTCAAGAATTCACTTCCGCACTCACAACACCAATCAAACTCATCCCCTCCCACTCGTATATTTGTCCAATCTCTCTTTAAAGCTACCCAAGGTTCTAACCTCGATCATAATAAGCTTTGATAATTCTGAGTGGGACTTGCACGTGAGTGGGACTCGCATGCAAGTCCCACTCAAATCCAACTCCTCTCACTCATGTATTTATCCAACCTAAATTTGAAACTACCCAAGGTGGGAGAATTGGACCTGCTTCGCATGGGCCAGCAGGCGTGCTGTAGTGTTCCTTCTTTCTTTTGTGTGGAGCATCAGTCATCTCTACTTAACTCCACCTGTTGTGCATTCCTTGAGTGATGGTGAAATTGCTGAAATGGTGTTAAATACAAATAAGCATGTGATAAATGGTTTGGAAACTGACAGCTTAAAGAATTGAGACACTTATGCAACATATGGGAATCTTTATTGGCGAAACGTTTCGCCACACAATGGCTTCATCAGTCCAATACAAAGCAGAAAGCATAAGGAGAGGAGTTTGAGGTAATCTCTTCCTCAGCCTGGAATCGATGTGTTCAGTCCCTCACTCAACAAGAGTATTTGTCATTCGTAAAAAAAAAAATCTGGTGCTCTATGATTATCCTGCAAAATCCGCATCCGCATCCGGGAGGATGTCAAGATGTGACATCCGCAATCCGTATCCGCATCCGTATAGTACTGTAAGCAGATATCCGCATTTGCATCTGCATCCGCAAAATAGGTAAGTAAGACATTCGAATACACATCCGCATCCTCAGCTATCTAAATTTTCACATTCGATACATCCCTACTTTACACATCTGCTGCTATGTATGATAATCTATGTAACTGCATTTGTGTATACCTGAATAAACTTACTTACTAACTTAATATATGTTAGTGTAAACTTGTTATCTGGTATTTGTATGCATTTATAAGTGGAAAAAAGAGTTGTTACACTTCACGGCGATTTCCGCTTTACGGCAATAGCCTGGAACCTAACCTGCTGTATAAGTGGGGCTCTACTGTATATATAAAATATGAAATAACTTAAAAACGCTTAAAATTTTGGAGTTTCCAGATATTATGGAGAGACATGGTGCTTACTGAGCTCACGGAGAATGTAAACAAGTCGGGTGGGGCACGGTGACCCTATTAGAAAGTCAGGTGGAGGGAGCTGTATAACAAGTTTTGGTCACAGTTTGAAATGTCCATATTAGTGGAATGCCATAAAGCGGGGCCCTACTGTACATGTAGTCTATACGTACAAGTCAGCCATCACTAATCCGGCAGCCAGTTATCCGGTTCCATCAGTAATCCGGCACTAATTTTGGCTAGCATACATTCAAATTTCATCATTACACTGACTCAGAAATTGTGCAGATGGTTGTAAATCCACAGCAGGAAGCCAGTGGAGGAGAAAGCAGTGATGAAAATGAGGAAGATGTAGCAGAATCTATTGATAGGTTAAACCATACCCCCGGCCGGGATTGAACCCGCGGTCATAGAGTCTCAAAACTCCAGCCCGTCGCGTTAGCCACTAGACCAGCTAGCCACAATAAGATTCATCCAACTAGGTATATTTCTACACCATAGGAAGGTTAGCACAGGCACCACTGTGACCACAAATGCAAGTTTTTACAGACGAATCTCCAGCTAGCGTGGCCGTGACGAACTCTAGCTCAAGTCCTATTGATAGGTTAATTAAGTGTATTCTAACCTAACCACTCTGTAATCCGGCAAACTCACTAATCCGGCACATTACAGGTCCCAGTGATGCCTGATTAGTGATGGGCGACCTGTATTAGGTAAAGTATGCCCGAAATGCCTCGGCATGATAATGGCTTTCTTTGCTCCAATCATATTATGATAAGTAAACACACATTGTAACCTTTGCAAATAAATAAATATTTATTTAACCCTTTGACTGTTGAGGTCGTATATACGTCTTACGAGGTACAGTGGACCCTCGACCAACGATGGCATCGATTAACGATAAATCCGACCAGCGATACATTTTAACGCAAAAATTTTGCCTCGACTAGCGCTAAAAAACTCGACCAACACTATTCGTTCCGTCTGAGACGCGTCCACTTCTGGCCAGTGTTTACAAGCCAGCCAGCCACCGCGGTCGCTTCCAAGCATACAATCGGAACATTTCATATTATCACAGCCTTTTTAGTGATTGCACCTGCAAAATAAGTCACCATGGGCCCCAAGAAAGCTTCTAGTGCCAACCCTTCAGCAAAAAGGGTGAGAATTACTATGGATATGAAGAAAGAGATCATTGCTAAGTATGAAAGTGGAGTGCGTGTCTCCGAGCTGGCCAGGTTGTACACAAAACCCCAATCAACCATCGCTACTATTGTGGCCAAGAAAATGGCAATCAAGGAAGCTGTTCTTGCCAGAGGTGCAACTATGTTTTCGAAACTGAGATCGCAAGTGATAGAAGATGTTGAGAGACTGTTATTGGTGTGGATAAATGAAAAACAGATAGCAGGAGATAGCATCTCTCAAGCAATCATATGTGAAAAGGCTAGGAAGTTGAATGAGGATTTAATTAGAAAAATGCCTGCAACTAGTGGTGATGTGAGTGAATTTAAGGCCAGCAAAGGTTGGTTTGAGAGATTTAAGAATCGTAGTGGCATACATAGTGTGATAAGGCATGGTGAGGCTGCCAGTTTGGACCAAAAAGCAGCTGAAAAATATGTGCAGGAATTCAAGGAGTACATAGACAGTGAAGAATTGAAACCTGAACAAGTGCTTAATTGTGACACTTTTTTTTCAATACTTTTGGGTGTCTTGCACGGATTAATTTGATTTCCATTATTTCTTGTGGGGAAAATTAACTCGGCTAACGATAATTTCGTTTAATGATGAGCTCTCAGGAATGGATTAATATCGCTGGTCGAGGGTCCACTGTACTGTGTTTGACGTATATACAGTGGACCCCCGCATAACGATTACCTCCGAATGCGACCAATTATGTAAGTGTATTTATGTAAGTGCGTTTGTACGTGTATGTTTGGGGGTCTGAAATGGACTAATCTACTTCACAATATTCCTTATGGGAATAAATTCGGTCAGTACTGGCACCTGAACATACTTATGGAGTGAAAAAATATCGTTAACCGGGGGTCCACTGTATACTCATAAATTCTAGCGGCTTCAAATCAAGCAGGAGAAAGCTGGTAGGCCCACATGTGAGAGAATGGGTCTGTGTGGTCAGTGTGCACCATATAAAAAAAATCCTGGAGCATGCAGTGCATAATGAGAAAAAAAAAAACTGACCTTTTTTTTTTTATTTAAAAATGCCGACTTTGTGGTCTATTTTCGTATGGTATTTATGGTTGTATTCTCGTTTTCTTGGTCTCATTTGATAGAATGGAAAACATATTATAGAAATAGAGGTGATTTTGATTGATTTTACTATAAAAAGAACCTGGAAATGGAGTTCAAAGTAGGGGAAATGTTTGATTTTTGCCGATGTTCAACAGTAAACAAATGATGTCATTGTCCAATAAATGTCTAACTAGCCATTCTAATATGCAGTCATGAATGGGATGATGTTATTTATACAATTATTACAGTATTGCAGTAGTCTGCATAACAGTAAATCTTCTATTTTTTGTTTGAATAAAAATTCAAAATAGAAAGCAAGAGTAATATCAGATTGGCTTGGAGACGTGACTGATGAACAAAGAAAATGTTATTTTAGAGCCAGGAATGTCTACATTGTTCATTCTGGACCTTATTTTGAAATTGTCATATTTTTTTAATTTTTGTGAAATTGGCCAAATTGCAAATTTCTGACCACGTTATTGGGAAGTTGAAACAGTAAATGGGCATTTTTTGTCTCATCGATAGAAAAAATGGATTTCTAAAAAAATAGTAATGAGGTTTGGCGACTGGAACATGAAATTAGCCAAATATAGGGCTCAGAAGTGGCTTGTAATTCGCCGATTTGTAAATATCGCATAGGTTTTCTAACTTTGCGAGAGGCATAATTCCGTCAATTTTCTCACCAATTTCGTGCTTTTGGTGTCAGTACAATCGTGAAAAGGCAGTTCTCTATCAATCGATAAGAATTATTTTTTTTTTTTTTTTTTTTAAAAATTTTGCGAAAGTAGACTGTAGTTTGGGGGTGACTGAACATAAGGGGTTAAGGAACTCTTGAGGGGGAAATAGGCATCCTAAATTCGGTTCGATATCGCCGAATGCAAATAAGTCACTGAATGACGGTTCCGTATCTTAAAAGTTTGCATGGTGGGGTATTCATAAGCTGAGGCTGAACTGTAGTAATATACATGTAATTTATATTTCTCCTATAAACACTCATATCAGCTATGATATACAGGACACAGTGGTTTGGTGGTAATTATATCAAGCTGATGTTTTAAGTTCTCTTGAGATTGGATTTGCTGGAGAATAGTAATCTAGCTTTCTTGTTTTAGTTTAAGCTAGTTCTTGGATATGCTATATCTCGACCAACTAGTTGTAAGATTCAGCTGTCTCACAAAGTTAGGGAGATGCATTACCCTTCCTCATTTTGTCTGTAGTAGCTCCTAACTAGGCAATTACAATACTGCACATTATATGTGAGTAGCATATACATACTTATATTTATTCTTTCACAGTTTCAGTTCATAAATTCACAATGACTGCCGTGAGTTCCCCACTATTATGGCAGGGGAACATGGGTGGTGTCACTCTTCGTCCACAACCTCGTCTGGATGTGAAGTGGCTCAAATCAGATTTGCAAAGCCTCCTGCAACCTGATAATCTGCCATCATTGTACAACCAGATGGTCAAAGATGGAGAAGTTGCAGGACCACATGTTGAAGGCATTCTTAACTCTGCAGGAGTTACTGCAAGAAAAGGTTAGTTTTTATTTTATTAGAAAGAGACATTAATTTGCCTTTTATTCAGTTTTGTATAGAAGTTCCAATTTTAAGTATGATGGTTGTGTAACACAAAAGAGAAAAGGCAAATTTATTTTCTTTTGCAGAATATTTTTATTTTGTGTAAATAAGTTGCATATGTCACTTAAATTAAGATTATCTAAATAGAGAATTAAATATTCTTGATCAGTAGCCATTACCCAACACATTATTATAAAGTAATTTAGGTTATCTGATGGGCATTGTGCAGTAAATTGTAGCAGGTTTTATGATTGAATGGTTGTGAAGTTGTTCATAAGATACAGACTATGCATTTAAAAAGCACAAATTTACAGGTGAAAGTGGACACTACTATTGCAGTATGCGAGTACTGACCTGCCCTTGCTGTGATGGTATCTGTGGACCACAGAGTGGTTGCAATTGTGGACCCTGTCAAAAGCTTGATCGGGAAGAGGCTGAGAGGGAACTTGAAAGTGGACAGGGGGCATCTCCTCCTTCATCCTCACTCCTTGACGGCTGGACATGGGGGCCACAGCCAGAAAAAAATGATTTGAAGAAGTGCCTTGATGCACTTGTAAAAGAACAGCGCCTTACATGTTTAGATGCAGCTTCTACTACACTTTCTGCTAGCCGTCTTCAACAACGCTTTATGGTGGCTCATAGGTACCCATACTAACTGTTTTAGTTTCAGTACTTGAAATTAATTATAGGCTAATATGACTCATATTCTGATAGGGTATTTATTTAAGGAATTTGTTTTCAGATTACGTAAGAGAGAAACATGTGGTTTTCATTTAGACTATAACAAGTTTAGTGAAACCTCCATAAAAATGGACTAATAGAGGGTAGAAGATGTCTGATTTTTTAAAAATTCTTTGGATGTGATCAATACAGCAGAAGCAGTCAGCTGCATCACTGGACTACTGTACATGGACAAGTGCCCAATTGAGTGGACTTTGTCCATTGCATTAATGGAGTTCACACATGCTTAGAATAAACTGCACTATTACAATGCAGAACTTATGTAAGGAGTCGCCCATGAAAAATTTACCCTTCCACTCCATTATCAGCTCTGCTTGATTTCTTTTTGGCAAGACATGGCCCTTAAACTGAAAAATAGTCAAAAATTTTGTTCAGTATGTGCTAAATCTCTCTCATTTATTTAATATTTTTCTTATAAGTGTCAATATTAACCCTTTCAGGGTTTCTGATGTACTAGTATGTCTTACGCACCAGGGTTATTGACATACTAGTATGCGTAAATTCTAATGCCTTCAAATCTAGCGAGAGAAAGCTGGTAGGCCTACATATGAAAGAATGGGTCTGTGTGGTCATTGTGCACAGTATAAAAAAAATCCTGAAGGACACACTGCATAATGAGAAAAAAATCTTTGTGTTTTTGGTTTAAAACAGCGACTTTGCACTGTATTTTCGTATGGTATTTAAGATTGTATTCTAGTTTTCCTAGTCTCATTTTATAGAATGGAAGACATGTTACAGAAATTGAGATGATATTGTTTGATTTAACAATGAAAAGTACCTTGAAATTGAGCTCAAAGTAGCAGAAATGTTCAATTTTTGCCAAAGTTCAAAAGTAAACAAATCATGCCACGTGTCCAATACACGTCAACTGGTAAGTCTGATATTCTTTCACAAGTATGCTGATATTATTTATACCATTTCTACACTAATGCAGTAGTCTGCATAGCAGTAAATCTTCTATTTTTTGTGAGAATAAAAATTCAAAGTGGAAAGCAAAAGAAATGTAAGAGGGGCGTGGGGACATGACTAATGAACAGAGAAAATGTTATTTTAGTGCCAGGAATGTCTGTCTTGTTTATTCTGAACCCTATTTGGAAATAGCATCTTTTGAAATTTGTGTGAAATTGGCAAAATTGCCAATTTCTTACCACTTTATTGGATAGTTGAAATCGGTAAATGAGTGGTTTCTTGTACTCATTTGATAGAAAAAATGGAGTTCTAGTGAAATAGTTGTGATTTTTGTCGACTAGCACTGGAATTGGCCAAAAATAGGGCTCAAAGTGGGTGAAATCGCCAATGCCTAAACATCGTCGAGACCGCTAACTTTGCGAGAGCATAATTCCGTAAGTTTTCCATCAAATTTCATACTTTTGGTGTCATTATTATCAGGAAAAGATTCTCTATCATTTTATAAAAAAATAATTTTTTTTTTCCGAAAATTTTTCGACCCTGAGAACAAGTTTAGGAGAGGGCCTCTCGACCCTGAAAGGGTTAACCAGAGTTTAATGATATTAAAGCCTCTCAGTGGCCATCACATAGAACTACGTCATAGAGGACCAGGGTCCCTCATGTAGTTCTATGTCATGAGCTCAACTCACTCAGATAAATTGTTAGTAGTAAATTTTTACCTTGCTATGAGAAAATGGGTTTGTGTGGTGAGTGTGTTCAGTGTAAAAAAAAAAAATCCTGCCCAATGTGGTGTGTGATAGAAAAAGCCAAACTCTGATCATGTTTTTGGTTTAAAAATAGAAAGTTTGAGGTGTTTTCAAGTATTCTTTTTATGCTTGTATTACCTATTTCTAGGTAACCGTTTGAAAGAATGGAAGACATACTAGTGACATAGAGATGATTATGATTGGTTTCAGGAATGGAAGTGCATGTAGTAGCTTAAAATTAGACATAGTAGCAAAAATATTTGATTTTTTACGAATATTCCTGAGGACGGGTAAGGTTTCCCTGCACCCCTTGATCTATTTTGTGGGTTTTAACCCGTTAACTGTCCAAACGTAGATCCACGTTCTCTCACCCAGTGCTCCGAATATTTTGAAAAAAAAAAAAATTTAAATTAACCCTTTCAGGGTTTTGGATGTACTAGTACGGCTTATGCACCAGGGTTTTTGACGTACTAGTACGCCTAAATTCTAGCACTCTCAAATCTAGTGAGAGAAAGCTGGTAGGCCTACATATGAAAGAATGGGTCTATGTGGTCAGTGTGCACAGTATAAAAAAATCCTGCAGCACAAAGTGCGCAATGAGAAAAAAAAACTTTTACCTTGTTTTTGGATTAAAACAGCGATTTGCACTGTATTTTCGTATGGTATTTATTGTTGTATTCTAGTTTCCCTGGTCTCATTTTATAGAATGGAAGACATATTACAGAAATTGAGATGATTTTGATTGGTTTTATCATGAAAAGTACCTTGAAATTGAGCTCAAAGTAGCAGAAATGTTCGATTTTTGCCAAAGCTCAAAAGTAAACAAATCATGCTAAGTGTCCAATACACGTCAACTGGTGAGTCTAATATTCTTTCATAAGTGTGCTGATATTATTTATACCATTTCTACTCTAATGCAGTAGTCTGCATAACAGTAAATCTTCTATTTTTTGTGAGAATAAAAATACAAAGTGTAAAGCAAAAGAATGTAAGAGGGGCATGGGGATGTGACTAATGAACAGAGGAAATGTTATTTTAGTGCCAGGAATGTCTTTCTTGTTTATTCTGGACCCTATTTGGAAATTGGCATCTTTTGAAATTTGTGTGAAATTGGCAAAATTGCTAAATTCTGACCACTGTATTGGATAGTTGAAATCGGTAAATGGGTGGTTTCTTGTACTCATTCGATAGAAAAAATGGAGTTCTAGCAAAATAGTTATGATTTTTGTCGACTAGTACACTGGAATTGGTCAAAAATAGGGCTCAAAGTGGGCAAAATCGCCGATGCGTAAACATCATTGAGACTGCTAACTTCGCGATAGCACAATTCTGTAAGTTTTCCATCAAATTTCATACTTTTGGTGTCATTATGATCTGGAAAAATTCTCTTACTTTTCATAAAAAAAATTATTTTTTTTTTAAATTTGGGCGACCCTGAGAAAAAGTCTGGGAGAAGGCCTGGGGACCCTGAAAGGGTTAAAGAGGGCAATTTTCTGTGTAATAAGATAAAAAAAAAAAAATTTAGGGTCAGTATTTACTGAGATATAAGACTGGAGTGGCACTAGATGCTCACCTGATGGCAACATGGAGTCCTGCCTCTTGCAGCAACCACCCAGGGAGGTACTACCGTCCTGCTAAGTGAGCGTAAAACGAAAGCCTGTAATTGTTTTACATGATGGTAGGATTGCTGGTGTCTTTTGTCTGTCTCATAAATATGCAAGATTACAGGTACATCTTGCTACTTCTACTTACACTTAGTTCACACTACACATACATGTACATGTTTATTTATACACACTCATGTGAGTTTTCTTTGATTTTATCTTAATAGTTCTTGGTCTTACTACTTTTCCTTTTATATCCATGGGGAAGTGGAATAAGAATCTTTTCTCTGTAAGCCATGTGTGTTGTAAAAGTCAACTAAAATGCCGGGAATATGAAGAAAATTGTCAAAGTGGAAAGTCTGAATGTGCGTGAATGTTGTGCGAATGATAAGAAAGAGATGATTGTGGATGTTATGACTGAGAAGAAGCTGGATGTCCTGGCTTTAAGTGCAACAATGCTGAAGGGGGTGGGAGAGTTTCAGTGGAGAGGAATAAATGGGATTAGGTCAGGGGTTTCAAATAGAGTTAGAGCTAAAGAAGGAGTAGCAATAATGTTGAAGGATATGCTATGGCAGGAAAAGAGGGACTATAAATGTATTCAAGGATTATGTGGAGTAAAATAAAGGTTGGATGTGAAAATGGGTTATAGTTAGCATATATGCACCTGGAGAAGAGAGAAGTATAGAGGAGAGAGAGATTTTGAGAAATGTTGAGTGAATGCATGGGGAGTTTTGAACCAAATGTGAGAGTACTGGTGGTTGGAGATTTCAATTCTAAAGTGGGTAAAAATGTTGTGGAGAGAGTAGTAGGTAAATTTGGGGTGCCAGGTGTAAATGAAAATGGGAAGCCTTTAATTGAGCTATGTTTAGAAAGAGATTTGGTAATAAGTAATACATATTTTATGAAAAAGAGCATAAATAAATATACAAGGTATGTTATAGCATGTAATGAAAGTAGTTTGTTAGATTATGTATTGGTGGATAAAAGGTTGATGGGTAGGCTCCAGGATGTACATGTTTATAGAGGGGCAACTGATATATTGGATCATTATTTAATTGTAGCTACAGTTAGAGTAAGAGGTAGATGGGAAAAGAGGAAAATGGCAACAATAAGTAAGAGGGAGGTGAAAGTGTATAAACTAAGGGAGGAGGAAGTTAGTGTGAGATATAAGCAACTACTGGCAGAAAGGTGGGCTGGTGCAAATATGAGTAGTGGGGGGTTGAAGAGGGTTGGAATAGTTTTAAAAATGCAGTATTAGAATGTGGGGCAGAAGTTTGTGGTTATAGGAAGGTGGGTGCAGGAGGAAAGAGGAGTGATTTGTGGAATGATGAAGTAAAGGGTGTGATAAAAGAGAAAAAGTTAGCGTATGAGAAGTTTTTACAAAGCAGAAGTGTTATAAGAAGAGTACAGTATATGGAGAGTAAAAGAAAGGTGAAGAGAGTGGTAAGAGAGTGCAAAAGATGAGCAGATGATAAATTGGAAGAGGCACTGTCAAGAAATTTTAATGAAAATTAGAAAAAAAATTGGAGCGAGTTAAACAAGTTAAGAAAGCCTAGGGAACGAATGGATTTGTCAGTTAAAAACAGAGTAGGGGAGTTAGTAGATGGGGAGATGGAGGTATTGGGTAGATGGCGAGAATATT